TACAGATGATTTATCTATGTATATTCACAGATTACTGCTCCTCTTACAGATCTATTAAAGAGAAGTGTGAAAGACAGAAAAATGAGCAAACAAGATTAACTGCTCCACCACGAACTCGCTCGATTTTTTGAATAAGAACCCGCCGATAGATCCATCGAAAAGCCCTCGATCATACGAGCATTTTGACCCCATCGCCGACCGCATACCCCGTGTGGTGGTGGAGTTATCCAGCCAAACGTGAACCAGACGTTGTTCGAAACTCCTGTGTGGGATTATCCCCCGTTCTCCCCTACCACACCACAACCCCGGGCCAAATTGCCATACAAATTGTAAGGTGAAAAGACCTAGCCATATGCACCAATCTTCTCGATTTTGGAAGATCCCCAATCTGTGATTGTGGAGATATTCGAGGAGCGACATCCGCGAAAACCCTGTCCATCTTTGATGTTTCAAAACATCAACGCCAAGTCCCACCCTCGTACCGCCCTTCCCAATCTGGCCCATCCCCGGCAGAAAAATACAAAAAGATACCTCAGCAATAATATCAAGCACATAATCAACAGACACTTCTGAAGTGCAACCTCCGCGAATACCCTGTCTGTCTTCAGTGTATCTAGACATAAACACCAAGTCTCACCCTTGTACTGTTCCTCTCAATCTGGCTCATTCTCAGCAGAATAATATAAAAAGACATCTTAGTAACAGTACTTGATATATAACTGATGAATAACAAGTTAACAGAACAAGTCAACAGCATATCAACAACTATAAATTCAGTATATCTTAAGATCTGACTGAGCCTTTGATTTCTGCACAGTGAGATATATTAAATCTAGTTTTAATATCTCAATATTCAATAGATTCTGTAAGAGATTGAGAACAGTAATACTAGGTTTCTATTGAATTTGAGAATTATCTCTATATTGATATAATCATTGATAAAGTCTTCTATTTTGAGATATAAATAATTAGTTCCTCTACATCCTGCTGACAATATTTATATTATTATATAGAAATAGACTTATATTCTCTATAATATCAAGACTCTGAAGAGGGAAAGTCTTGATAGAGAGTATACAGTAGTGTATATCTTAGCAGTTTCTATCTCATTCTTCTGCAGCAGTTAATACAATAAAAAAAAAAGATCTTAGAAATAGTTTTTTACTTCTCTTGAAAAAGTAAGGTGTTTTTCTCTGAGTTTTATACAATATTCTTACAAAGAATTAAAAACAGAGTTGTTTTCTGTCATAATTTCATATTCTTTTAAGTAAGAATTACTTTTTCAGTAACTGAAGAGCTTTCATTAATACTTAATTCTCTTTTACACTTTTTATTGACTGATTTGAGTTGCATACTTGTTGTGTGAGAAGAATTGAATGATTTAGAATAAAATTGAATAGTTTTAATTAATTTCTCTGCAAAAAATTGACTTATTTTTTATCAGTTTTTCTCTTAAAAACTGTTATATCATCTGATTTATTATCAATTGATATCATACTTTTCCTCACTGTATCTCAAGAAAGAGTTTATAAAGATTTTATTGATTTATCTTAAAAATCACTTTTAATTTATTAGATTCTCTTCAAAAATCTAACCTAGTTACTGAACTAGTGTGAAAAAAAATCAGATGTTTTATATATAAAAGTCTTTCATTCTTCTTTTGAAACAGTCTGATCAACTTTTCAATTGAAAATAGACTAATAAATCTCTCAACTGAAACAGTCTGATCAACTTTTCATTTGAAAATAGATTAATAAATCTCTCAATTGAAACAGTCTGATCAACTTTTCATTTGAAAATAGACTGATAAATCTCTTAATTGAAACAGTCTGACTGACTTTTCATTCAGTGAGTAAAATGAGTTTAAGAGTACACTCAGTTGATGTAGAAAAAGATGTTTTCTCAGATACTATTTCTGAGATTGAAATTCTAAAGAGAAGAAAGAAGGAAGAAATAGAGAAATAACAAGTTCTTGAAATACAGAAACTGAAAAAAGTAAGCAAAATTCTTGAAAAACAGTGTCTGAGTGAGAAGAATGAAGAAGTTCTGTTAATTCTTCATACTCAGACTAGACAACTATAAGAAGTGATTAAGTTCAAACTTGAAATTTCAAATACAATTCAAAAAACATTGAAATCTTTTAGTACAGTTACTGACTCTTTTTCATCTTCTACTTCTTTATCTTCTTCTTCAAATCAGAAGAAAATATATGCTCAAGTAGCAGAATCTGCTGTCTTTAAACCTGCTAGTTCAAAATCTGCTCAAAATTCTGAGAAAACTGAGAAGAATATTACTCAGATCTCTGTTCATAGAAAGAAAAAAAAAGAAATGTAAAAAGAGAAGAACTTTCAAATCTTCAGAAATAGAAGACTTATTCTTAAAGTTTTAAATCAGAAGAGCTTGTAAAAAAACAAGTTAAACTCAAATCTCATTTTCAGAATTAGAAATGAAATTAATCAGCAGTTCTTTTCTCAGTTAATGACTGATATTGAAGTTTAATAATCAGTCATAGCTTCAATTGAGTCATCTTTCTTTGAAAATTCTATTATTTTGACTATAATGTCTGAATTCAGTACAGAATCCCTCATTCAGAATGAGAATCTCTGAAAATCAGTAATAGAATCTCTACTGAATACAATAATTTTATCTGAGAGAGATGAAAAGTGAGATAAATTCATTCTTTACAATATTTCAGTTGAAATTTTTGACTGTGAGAAAGAAATGCTGCTTTTTAAAAATGAATTAGAAGAATATAATTCTATTCAACTGAGAAAAGAGTCTGTATAACTTAATTCAATTAAGTTCAGACAGAGTAGAAGAAATACCTCTGTTCTAGTATATATAAAGATACTTGAATAATCAAGAATCTCTGAAGTAAGAGTAATAGATTTGAAAATGAGAGTTCATGAATACAAAGACTTAAGAATGAATCTCAAAGCTCAAACACAGTGTTTAAACTGTCAAAGATATAAATACTTTACAATCTCTTATTTCAGAGACTCAAAATGCGCATTCTGTGCTAGAGATCACAAAACTAGTGAGTATAAATATGAAACATGCTCAAAAAGAGATAAAATATGTCAATATACTCTGCTTAAGTACTTCAATTGCAAAGAAAAACATGCATCTAGCTTAAAAGAATGTGTATTTACTTCAAGAACTTAGAAGAACTGAAGAAAAGATGAAGCTCAAAGTAAATATAAAACTGAAGAGAAAAGTCAAGCTAGTAAATTTATAACTGCAAGCTTAAAAAGAAGAAACTCTCAACTATCTAGGTCTTCAAACTTCAATTCTTCAGCTAAATGTAAACAGAATTTGAATTCTTAAACATCTGTTAAGATTAGAGAATTGAGAAATGACTCTGATAATAAACTAGATAGAATGTAAGCAGTTGAGATTCCTGCTTTTCAAAATAGTTATAATCTACTATCTGATAATAGTAATTAGATTCTACTATATCTTCACTCTCTTTTAGTATGAATGTACAACAAAAACAACAAAAAAAGTTTAAAAACTCTTCAAAAATCACATTTATTCAAAACAATGTGAATAGAAACTCAAATTGTATTTATTCTTGTCTTCAGATTATATTTGAATAAAAAGTTAACTTTGTACTTCTTCAAGAATCAAACTTTGATACTGAGTAAAAGTATATTATTTCTCATTCAAGCTATTACTACTTTCTTTCTGAAAAATCTGAGATAAAATCAAGAGTAGTAATCTATGAAAGAAAAAGATCAAGATATTAATTTAATCTAAGATTTGATATCATATCTGACTCTGATATTCTAGTGAGTGACATTATGAATAAAGATAATGAGTTTGATACTATTCAACTTATAAATATCTATAATAAAAAATCATTGAAAGAAAACAATAATATCTGAACAATTAATAGAGAATTTTTGTAAGAATAAGTGCTCGCAGGCGATTATTCGGGTGTTTGCAGCTTGACGTGATATGTACTGTTAACTACTAGAAGTGTTCACGGTAGGAAGATAAATGTAGAGGTCAAATGTATAATAGCATTCAAGCTGAGTTGTGAATAGTATTCGCGAACTCCAGTCTATATAGTTGTGTGTAGCCAAGGGCCGCTAGCCCTATTGGTTACGTGAGAGATAGGAATAGGGGTAAAGGATCCGTGAGGAGCGGGATTTCTTACATACCCCTCTCTCTCTAAGGCTTTGTCTGCAAAGCCTTTCACTGAGTGACTTCATAGTCAGCTCAGCACTGCAGTGATACTCACTAAAAACTCTTCATGTCTATAAAAAACCTCAGTGAGAAAAAATCCCTTGTTACCATAAAGGGAAAAGAGTCTGTCACTCAGTTCCTTGTTTCATGAGGTTCTTTGTGGCCTACAGATTCTTCTCTGACTATCACACAGATTCATCTCACACCTTCCATACAGAAGAGTTCTGGTTGACTCTCAACCATTTTCATGAGATTCTTGTGTGATCATCACACAGATTCATCTCACAGGTGAATCACTCTCTGTGAGATCACCCTCATCAAAGAGAAACATTCATGAGTTGATCTTTCATTCATTCTCACAAATCATTGCTCTTTGACACTGTAGAATTGTGAGGAATTTTCCATTCTTTCATCAACTCTGTAGAATTGTAGAATCAAGATGTCTGCAGTCTGCAATCACCCTTTGTAGTCACATAGAAGGATTCAGGCCTGCAATTCACAATCACTCTTGTTTACTAGAGTGATCTGGCTGTTCTGTGGGATCACTCACAGTGTAAGCAAACCTCTCTAGAGTAGTATAAATACCCCAGATCTGTCCACAGAACCTCATCTTCTTTTCCCTTTTTCTGTAACAGCTCTCATCCTTATAAACTGTGAGTATCCTTATTCATCCGCGAAGTGTTTCCACTCAGATGACAGAGAGAGAGTGTTCCTGACAATGTCTGCGTGTTGGTTCAAGAACTTCCCAAGAATAAAAATTTTTCAATTTCAACATCTTCACAAACAATGTCTGGCTGCTGCTGAGCTTCTCATGGGTGTCCCTGTGACTCCTCTGGTCGCTTTTTGCCAGCTGGTGGAGCAGGGGCGCTGCCACCCACAACTGTGCCTCCATCCTTCTCAGCCCCACCACCGCACCCGATCTTCGGGCCAGCGGCCCACCCCATCCCTTTCCCAGGCCAGCCCCTGGCTTCAAGCAGCACAGTCCCTCTCTTTGCTGTAAGTCTTCTCACAAGTAATTCCTTGCAGACCCTAGCTGACAGTTCTTGTGAAGCTCCTGGTGTTGTCAGTGCCTTCTGCGGCCCCGCGGGCCTACAATCACCCCCCCCCTGCCCACACAATCTCTGACCAGGCATATGCAAATATGCCTAGGTTCCCTGTCAATGATCCTCGCGCCGCGGCGCATTTCTGCAATCCCATTGTCAATGAGAGATGAGTCCCCGGGTACCCGCAAAATCCGGGTAATCAAGGCAATGTGAATGTCATGAATTTGTGATGAGAGTTGACCTGAGCAGATGAGCCTTCTCTCTGTGTCCTCATTGTTTTCAGGCTGAATACTTCAGCACAACTGGGAGAGCGGACACAGCTTCATGAGGGGTATCTGGTCACACACGCAGATGGCCAGCCTTCAAGGCCCTGCTGCAACTGTGTATGTCCTGGTGTCTGGCTCCTCTGGAGTCTGTGCATTTCTGGCGGCCTTCGCGCCAAATGCAACAATTGCCTGTACTGCAGGCATGATGCTCCCTGCTCCTTTGAAGGGGGAAATTGATAGTTGTGGGGGGATTGGGTGTTGCGGGTGTTGATGATGTGAATGTGAATTTTCTTTGTTTTTTCTTTATTGGTCTCTAAATTGCATTTGTGGCCCTGTTTGTTTTCTTGTTTTTTAGCTTTAATGAGAACATGTTTTCTTCTTCCCTTGCATACACCACAGACTGTTCATCCCAGTAGAAACCCATTATCTTGTAGACTAGGATTCGCAAATGACAGTGTTAATGTCTTTGTCACAACCAGGTTCTTAGTGAAGACTGCATCATTCTGGCTTATCAGAATTCATAGCATGAAAGTCATGTCTCAGCTTCTGCAGATGTCTTATCTGCCTGGATGGTTCTCAAGTGAACTTATTCACCTTGTCAGAATACTCTTGTCACTGAACCTTGAATCAGAGCTTGCAATCTCACTTCTCTGAGTCAACAATTTCTTTGATCTGGTATTCTCTTTCACTCTCTAGTGCTTCACAGACAGAGTGATGAGTCACAGAGTTCTCTCCTGAGAATTCCTTGTGTTCACAGAGTAAAGAGACATGAAAAACATTGTATATCTGCAACCCAGGTGACAGTTTCAATCTGTAGAACTGCAAGCTAACTTTCTCCACAATCTTGCAAGACTCTGTCTGTAAGAGATCCAGCTTCTTACTAGATCTCTGTGTGATGATGTTTTCTAGACTCAGTCAGACTCTATCATCTTTCTTGAAACTCTTCACAATGTGCTTGGAGTCATAGTATCTCTTCTGATACTCTTGGGCCTTTCTCAAGGATTCATGGGCTTTCTCCTGAATCTCCTGAATTCTCTCAGCCTGTTCACAGGCATCATCACACTCTATAGTGTACTCTCGCGGGTCCATCAAGGTCATCCACAGATGAGTCTCAGTGAGCATCTCAAAGAGGGTTTTACCTGTGCTGACATGCTTTGAGTTGTTGTATATGAACTCTGTGAGTGATAATCAATGCATTCAGTCATTCTGATTGTAATTGACAAAGCATTGCAGATACTGTTCTAATATACTCATCAGATGTTCTGTCTGATCATCTGTCTGTTGATGAAAAGCTATGCTTAGATCTCATGAGATCTCCAGTATAGTCATCAGGTCAGACCAGAACTCTCCTGTGAAGATTGATCCTCTGTCTGAGACAATGTTTGCAGGCAATCCATGCAACTGGACCACATTGCAGATGAAGATGTGAGTCAAATCCTTTGACTTCAAGTCCTTGCAGGTGAGTATAAAGTGTGCTATCTTGATAAAGCAATTCACTATCACCAGCACACTGTCAAAGCAGGCATCATATATGTTCTTGCTTTCAGGGAGGCTCACAAGGGCATTCATTCCTAGCTGTTCCCAAGGTTCCCGCGGGATGGATAGAGGAGTGAGTTCTTCATATGACCTGGACTGCACTACCTGCGAATCCTGACAAACAGCACAAGAATTCACTATCTTCTTCACAAGTCCTCACATCTTCAGTCAGAAGTATTTCCTTGTGAGCAACTCATGAGTTCTAGTGTCTGCAAAATGACCTGCTAGAGGAGAGTCATGATGCCTTTTGATGAGTTCTATGTGTAGAAACTCATTTGTGGGCACATAAATCCAGCCCTCTCTTTGCAAGAGGCTATTTAAGTCTCTTCAATCCTTTGTTTCTGCAGGATTGGTCCCTGCTGCGAGCAGTTTCTGAATATGCTGAGCATATTCATTCTCCAGTTGCAGTTCAGGCAATCTGGATAGAAGACCTTGCAAAGACTTGTGCTCTGTTTCTCCTTGCACCAGGTCTTCCACAGTGCTTCTCAAAGCCTGCAAACTCTTCAGGTTATAGATACCCTCTTCAAGGATCCTCACAGAGATTCCCAGAGTGTTGACTCTCAGTGTCGCAGGGAGTAGTTGCACAGGCTTCTTCCCTTCCTCTCCCCTCTTCTCTCATGGGGGATTGAGAGACTCTTCAGTCAATCTCTTCACAACACTCAGTTCAAGCATTCTGTGAAGCTTTTCTGTCTTCTCTAGTCTCTCTGTGTCTGTCGCCCTGGCCTTCTTAACATAGTCTGGCCTGTGAGAGGGTCTGTCCACTGGGTTCTTAGTTCCCTTGATATGCTCTATCTTGAACCAGAACCCACTCAGTCTCTGAGCCCAGTGAACCTGCCGCCGCGAGAGTTCCTTGATTGAAGCAAACTGTCACAAGCTGTCATGATCAGTCCTAACAGTAATCACTGTCATGAGGCCCTCAAAGTAGTGATGCCAGTGATGAAAGGATTCCACTATCATGAGAAGCTTCTGATCATGGATGCCATAGTTGATCTCCGCAGGTTGCATCTTCCGTGAGAAAAAGGCCACTGAAACCCAGTTCTCATTTGACTGTAGTTGCAAGACTATTCCTGAAATTGTAAAGGAGAAGGCATCTGTCTTCAATCTGATTAAGAGCAAGAGATCAAAGTGAAACAGCATCACTGTGTCTGCAAATGCCTGTTTCAACCTTGCAAAGACCCTGTAAGCTTCTGGAATAAGAAAGTCCTCACAGTTCTTCCTTCTTAATAATCTTTCCATCCTCTGTTCATGGGATGACTTTTTCTTGTTTCCACCCTTCAGCATGTCTGTAAGGGCCAAGGAGATCCTTGTGAATGCAAAGATAAACTGCCTATAGAAATTCACAAAGCCCAGAAAGATCTGAATCTCATGAATACTAGTTGGCTCTGGTCATGATAGAATAGTCTCAACCTGTGAAGGTTCCATCTGGATACCATCTGTGGTGATTACATATCCTAGGAAATTAATCTGGTGAGCACTGAAGTTGCACTTCACAAGCTTAACATACAGTCCTGCCTCATCTAAGGCCTTCAACACACTTTGCACATGCTCAGTGTGTTCTTTCTTCTTCATGAAGTACATCATCACATCATTCAGATATATTATCATGAAGACATCCAGATATGTGTGAAGTGTTTTATTGATGAAAGACTGGAATGCTGCAGGGGCATTAGTCAGATCAAAAGGCATCACTAGGTATTCAAACAATCTCAGTGCAGTTCTAAAGGCAGTCTTTCATTCATTCTCAGACTGTATTCACAGCCGTGCATATGCATTGATCACATTCAGTTGTGTGAATATAACAGCTCCTGCAAGACAGTTGATCACATTCTCAATCAGAGACAGAGGGTAGCAGCTCTTTGTTGTCTTGAAGTTCAGGTCACAGTAGTCTACACACAACCTGAGACCTTCATTCTTCTTCTTCATGAATATCACAGGGGCTCCCACAGAGGCCTGTGAAGATCAGATGAAGTCATTCTTCAGATTCTTCTTCACATAGGTCTGCAAGGCCTCTGTCTTGTGATGGGAGAGCTTATAGATTGGTCCTCAGAAGAGTTTCTGTCCTTCTATCAAATCTATTGCCAGATTCTCCTCGCGGTGAGGAGAAAGCTCAGCTGCCTTAGCTGGGCTGAACATCTCTGTGAGATCTCAGTATTTCTCTGGTATCTGAAGCTCAGTTTCCATGACCGTGAGGTCCTCAGACACTCACAAAGTCATTACATAGATGGGCTTGTCTTCTCTAATCAACTCTGCAGCATCAACTGCTTCTACCTCTGTGAGTGAGTCTGCCAACACTGATCAGAAGTATAAACCTGACTCATGGACAGCTATGTGCGGATTGTGTCTTTGAAGCCATGCAAGTCTCAAATACATGTCATCTGTGATGTCTGTGACAATCACAGTTTTCACAAATCTCCTCCAGGTTTCAGAGAGATCTTGCAATTCAAAGGTGACTCTCATGAGTCCCTCAGTCCTCAGGTCTGAGTTCTCATGCCCTGCTTGTTGCAAGAGCAGGTTCCCAGTCTCCATCTTCCAGCTCATTCGCTCCGCGAGCTTTAGAGACACCACAGTGGCCTGGGATCCTGAGTTCACCAATGCTTCCCATGCTTGCGGGGCAGCAGCACCGCGGCGCGGTCTCTCCCCGTGAGCAAGCATTTTCATTGGAGGAGCAACAGATTCAGGTGTCAGCTTCAAGGCCCTTAAGAAGGCTGTTGCTGACTCTGTCCGCGACCCCTCAAATTCCTATTTTGATTTGTCTGAACAGTTTGCGCGGAGATGTCCTGATTTAGAACAGATGAAGCAGAGTCCCTTTTCCTTGGCCTCTCTGTTGTGCACTCTGTTCGCGGGAGCTTGTGAAGCTCTCTCTCCCTGCTCAGCAGTCAGACGCGAACCTCTCTGTGCCTTGTCATCTTTTCCTGACAAACCTGTCCTCTGTTGTCCTGGCCCTTGTGGGGCTGGTCAATGGTCCGCTCTCCGCGGGTCTGTGGCTCTCACAGTGATCTGCAAGCAATGAATGAGAGTCATCAGTTCCTCCAGAGCCAAGGGCTTAGAGCCTTACTCAATGAGCTTGTTCTGCATGCCTTTATCCAGCCCCTTCGCGAACATCATCATCCAGGTCTTGTTCCAGGGCCCTGTTTCCACAGGCCCCAATTCGCGCCACAATTCCATGAAGCGCCGTGAGTAGTCTTCATCAGATTCCTCACCTCTTTTCCTAATGTTGGTGATCGCGGCCCAGGTGTTCTCTGTCTGGCTCGCGGAGTCCCCCAACTTGTTCTCTAGATAGGTCTTGAGAACAGACCATCGGGATCTCTCATGATCATTCCCTAGATGGTCCAGCCAGTCCTTGGCTTCAGTGTAATAGAGGCCTGTCATCACGTAGGTGACAGCTTCTTCATCTTCCATGTCACACAGCCGGGCTTGCGAGTCAATTTCAAATGCAAACTTGCAAAAGCTTTTATAGGTTGTGGTTCAATAGGTGGTCTTAAGTGGTCGCGGCTTGAGGAAGTTTCTTTTCAGTTCGCGGGTGTCCCTGGAGGTCATGTCTAGAGACTCAGTTCAAGGGTGTTTGCAGGCAGCAAGCATTCCTTGTAGAAAAATAGCTTGATCCCGCGGGAGGTGCTCA